GCTGTCAGTTAAATTAAATAATCAGCAAATCAATGCTAAAGTGGAACAGTCATGGCATGTCAGATACAAATTGAGATTACAATTATCAGGCATTACCACGAATCGCGGCATTTGAACGCAATTGAACGCATGTACGTTTACACTCTGGTTAATTAAATGCCTCACTTCTTGCATGGTACGACCTGTTAATTTTAGTCCGCAGACTGGACAATTTACACAATTATTTTCCTCCGCTAGTATGGCTTTCTGGCACATAGGACAGAATACTTCTCTATTCTCGTTGTCAGCATACGTCGCAAAGTATTCATACTCGTCTTGCAAAATCTTCTCGTATTCTTGGACTATCCATTGTTCTGCAACGATATTATTTTCTATCAAAATCTTGTTACAGTGCAACCAAGTTATTGACAATTATTACGAAATTTATTAGGTTATTCAAAATGTAACGAGTAAAATTTCGCTAAAAAGTATAACTGAAATTTGATCAAACCTTGTTCGTAAACAATTTCATTTTCATATTCAATCGCTTCTTCCAGAGTTAGAGGCTCGTCAATCTCTCTAAATGTAAGACTTGTGCCACTGTCGTCTGATGTAGCCAGACTCTTGAATTCTTGGCGTATTATCTCTGTCAATGTGTCCTGTACCGGTTTCCAATTAGATTCCAAGCCGATTCTGTGTCTGTTAAATAATTGGCTCCGCTTTTCTCGCATTCTCTGGCGACATCTCTAAAAATAGATCAGGCAATGTAAGAGCGCAAGAAAAAACAGTCATATATATATATATATATAATATCACGATAAACATTATTCCCTCATAAATCTTTCAATTCTAATAATCTTTCTTTATCACAGGTCCATACAGAGGTCCACGATATTCAAAATTGAGGATACTAATGATATTAAGCTTTCGACCAAAATAAGGAAAAAAAACAGGCGCGAGAAATATTTTACGCGCACGAGAATGCTCGTGAAAGAATGCACGTCCCCTCTCGTTCGCGCATTATTATCGTCTGGAAATCTTAAAAAGTGGGTAAACATTGACTTTTCCCAACCTCACGCAGCACCTCCTGCAGCTTAGGCGCGCCGTGTCTGATTTTATTCGCGCAATCTCTGTTCCTGCATTTCGACGTCATTGTAGGACCCGCCTCGCCGACAGAATTGGATCACACGATCGGGAAGAAGTGCGCTTTTTCCTGAAAGACAAACCGCGATTGTCAAACTACTCCTCTCCGGCACAGGGCACAGCTGGGCCGCAACGCGGTAGCTCTCGCACTCGCACATGCGCGATTTTGCGGAGCCTACTCCGGCCTACTCCGCAGTGAGTTCGTATTATAAATCATCTCTACCACGATCTCTACTTACACCATGGGTATATCGTGTGGCTGAACACGTCCATTGTTTTTAGTTTAGTCGCGCGCCGCAGACGTCGTGCGCTCGCTCGCGTTCGACGCCATGATAACGACGCTTATGACGTTATGATTTCGGCGGACCCGTTCAAAATTGCGAGTCGTAATCTGGATCGCGGATAACCGATGAGCGATCGGCAATGGAAAGCCGCATCGAATCGATGAAACACCGTCACCTGTTGTTGACGATCGAACGCGAGATACAGCAACGAGCGACTCGTGGCGGTCGTGAATGTGATTTTAGCCGATAATGAACGGCATATAAGAAAGCAATGCGATGTTACGCGATACAAAAACGGCTCTATATGCATATATATTTCTTATATACCATAACGCTTCAGGATCCTCGCATACAAGAGAAATTCGATGTAACAATTCGCTTATTTTTTATTCACATAATGATGAGTGATCTATATACAGAAAAAAAAAACAATGGCGGCGGCAAAGTAAGACGCTGTGATCCGTTATTTCCAGTTCGAAACAACTGGGTAGATGTTGACTAAAACCGCGTGGGGCCTAAATAACGCAAGGCGTGTTATTCGTACACGTCCTCCTTGTCCGCGACGTAGCGCACTATATCCTTGGGTCTCAGTAGCCTCTCCGCGTCCATGTCTGGAATCTCGAAGCCAAACTCGTCCTCCATCGCCATTATGATCTCCACATGGTCCAGGGAATCCAGACCCAGGTCGTCCATGAAATGCGACTCCAGGCTCAACTAAAGATTCAACGTATCGTCAGATATTAGGATTCGATCGCTCATCTGGGCCTCCTGCACAACTGACATGTCTCTGATAAAATAAATCGAGTCAAATACGCTAGGAAGAGAATATTTTATGCACTTAAATTTAAATTTAGATATTATATATTTCTTAACGGTAATATATAATACTGCGAATCACATTACATCGAGTAAATAAGAGTCAATGAAGATAAATTTGTATCCACATGTCAGTATGTACGCAGACGCCACGATCAAGCGAGGTGTTAACCAACTACCCTTTGTTTTAAGAAATATTTCTCAAGACATTTCGGTAAAAAGACTAGCAACAGAGAAAAACAATATAATTATAATATCATGCAGGAGGAAAATCAACTATTGCAATTAATGTAGAAAAGCTATATGCATGTGTTTGGAAAAAGATATAAATGCTCCTTTTATTCATACACATTATTTCTCAAACAATTGCACAATGCACTCAGGAATTTTTTATTTTTAACTTACAATGAAACATTTATCTTTATCTCATTAACAGAAACGTCTTGGTAAATATTTGAAAGTTATTGATCTCTAATTATGGGATACCTTTGCGCTTTCAATTTTGTCATAAAGTTTCAGAACCAAGAGCACCCGCTGATTGATAATGTCAAGGGTCAGCGGATCCTTATGACTGTACTGGCGCACCTGCTTGATGCGTGTGTCCCTTAAGCCCTGCAAAATTTTTCCCAGAAAAAAAGACAGAGATGTATTTTAGGTAATAAACCTTTTCTGCGACGGCATCGTTATAAGCGGCCACTGCTTTCAATACGCGCTCTTCGATATCCTTAATCGATTTCGGTTTCTCTCTAACTTCTTGACAGTATCCACGATTGCATTTTACCTGCATTCATCAGACAAATCTTTTTGTATACATTTTAACATTCAGCTCTTTCATGAAGTTACTAAGTAAAAAAAAATCTAAATTGCACTTGGATATAGTTTGTATAAAAGATACATCCTAGTTGCATTCTATAATATTTCACCAACTGATTATTATATTGCTCAAAGGTATCACAGGTATATACTTTAGAAATTGAAATCATTTTCTTATTAATTAACATTAAAAAACTGATAAAAATAAGCTTGCATGTTTTAAAATGAGACAGCGCTATGTGGAGATTAAAGATCAAAACATTAGACTCGGTAAACTCCACAGTTTTGTTTGCGCCTTCTCTACAGTGCTCCTTCTAAAACTTGAATATGTATTTATCTCAATTTAAATTTGCTCTATGCTCTTTTCAATCAGTTCTCTTTCTCCTTTTTTTTTTACACAAGTTAACGTTCCAGATCAAGCGTGGGATACTGTGTCGCAGTTTCCAACTTCCAACAGCTGAATGTAAAATCTATTGTTTAGAGTACAACTGAATGAAAGAGCTTTATAAACGTCAAGAGCGTGAGAAAGCGCAGCCAAAACAAGGATCTGTCGAGTTCGAGCGAATTGAACCGATGGCTCAACAAGCCCGGCACGTCGGTCACGACGATTCCCGGTGACGCTGTCCGTCGCTGCGGCATCTCTGCAAGTAGTCTCATCGTCAGGTTGCTCCAAGTTACATAATGCGCGTTCCGCGGAATCACGCCTGTCGCGAACGATCGCTCGGCGAGGGAACGATGCTCGGGTGTATCACGCGTGTCACGCTCAATATTACCTGCGGCACAACGAGCACGGTCCGCGCGCCGCGATGCAACAGCCTTTGCTCGCATCGCATCTGAACGAGCGCGCCGCTCGCGCAACGTAGCCGATTGAACGAGTTCCTGAGGCAGCCGGCGTTCCTCGCCAACAGCCGGACACCCGCCAGGGACGCCATTTTTCACCCACGATGAGCGAACGAGGAACAACGTCGGCGACGAGTCGGACTCTGATCCGAGGTTTCTACTACCGCTGGCGAGACTTGACTCGAGGTTGTCTGTCGTTCTCTTCGCTGCGGACGACCCGCGGGTTACGAAGAATATGAAGAGACAATTTACAGCACGTGCTGACATCTACTCTCGGGACGGCTTTATCTTATCAGCCGAAGAGGCGACTGGCGACAAAAATAATATTCGTTTTTGTCCAATTTTTATTTCTATTTATCAGGCGTGAGAGACTGCAGCGTTATAATATTTCTGAGTGCAAATATTAAAAAATACATAAAAATATAACATTTAAAAAAGACAGAATTATAATATAAATATAAGATATATGTAATAATTTATAAAATTTATTTAAGTATAAATAGAATTATGACTATGTATTATACTTACGTATATCCATTTCTAAAATAGGCATATTTAATTTATATAAATAATATATAATTTATATTAAAAATCAAACTTATATTTTAAACGATACACACTTAATCTTTTAACGTACTTCAAACGCACCGAAGAATAATGGATCATTAAAAAATATACTCTATAATACACTATTTATACCTATTTTATTACTATTATATTGTTTACTAATTAATCAGGATGATTTTGACCAAATGCTAATATTAACTTAGTCGATAATAAGTTTTATTGCTATTTTATTAGCACAAACAAAATGTTCATTTTTCGTATCTTAACAAAAGGAAATTGAAAGGAAGATTGGACTACAGAGACAACAAAGTAATAACTTTTTCATTTTAAATATATCTTTAATATAGCAATGTCATGTTCATTAAAATGTATACGAGATGGGCTGATTGCTAACGCATAAAAAAGTATTTATTTTAAAATTTAAATACCATGCAATATACATAAATGCTTTGCAGATATAAATTTCTGTACTTCCTCCGTACAAAAATCGTTTGTTGCGCAGAAGAAAATATAACAACCGTGATCGTAGATTTCGTATTCCGCAGCAATGCTCTCGCTCGTCTCCCTGGTACTCTTTGCCTTCAAGATTTCTGAGTATTTCTCCAGTACGTAGGCGCGCCGCAGTCAGATGTCTCGCTTGCGGAAATTTGTCTTGTTCTGTAAAATACTGAGATGTTGTCGCGGCACTTAAAGCCCATTCGACGTAATCCAGATCTTGCGTTATCCTATTTTGACTCAGCTGCTTGCTCAGCATTCTGTGACAATATAGAGAGCAGAACTATACATTTATCGTCCTATTTGCGGTGGACTTACTGCGTCATTAATACAGAGATTATACAGAGTCGACTCGTGAAGCTTCTCAAGGATGCTATTGGCGCATAGATCTCTTTCTATACCCGTCAATCCCACGATATTCATAATGGTCATATGAACAGGCTCGAGTCCAACGTCTTCCGTAAACTTGACGTACAAGCCTTCCGCTTGCTTAAAAAAATCTTTAGCTTCCTCGAACAAACCTTCAACCGCATAAACTATGCCCAGTTCATTATTGGCGCTTATAGCCGGTAAAATGCCTTCGGGCGTCAGTTTGCTGTCTTCAGTGTCGTCCAACAAATCGATGCACTTTCTGAAATATTCCTTGGCGAGTCCTAAGTCTCTCAGGTCAGCCTGTAATAGACCTATGTTCAAATGAGTTATCGCAGCCACGACGGTGCAGAGGGGCTCTTTGCAGTGGGCAAGCGCTTCCAGGATCTCCATTAGAATTCCTACAGCTTTTTTCTTTTTCTCGTGAATCTTATGAGAGCACCAGCTCCTCTCGGGGGTCTCCAACACTTTCTGAACCTCCTGGTACTTTTCCTTCACCCCTGAATGATCGATTCTATCCAAGCATTCCATTTCTGTCGTCAAGGTATGCTTCAGTTTTAATATATCCCTCTTGCTCTTTCCTGTTCAGCACTTTATCTCGTTAATGATTACAGATTAAATTAAATCTGTTGAGACATCCAGAATCCTGCGGACTGGCTATTAGCAGCTTAGAATCACATGACATACGGTCAGCATCTCCTAATAAGAAAAATATGGATATATAATCACTCGCCCTCGTCGGTAGATATAAACGTTTTTATGTATAAAAAAAACAGTGAATCATATCTAACCTTATCAAATTATTCGTATCTTTGTCGTATTATTGGTCGAAGTTGCCGGAGTCGTCCCGAGTCGATTTGCTCTTCTTTTTCTTCTTCTTCTTATATTAAATTGGCTCCTGCCCTCTTTCAGCGGACAATACCTACGGCTAGATTTGATCGCTGTTTGTTTAAAGTTAAGACTAACAATAAGTCTAAATCACTGTTTGCGTGGCGAAGTCTGAGTGGAAATTTCTGGGCGAGTCGATTTGTCTTCGGCCGAAAAATTCAATCGGACTTGGAATTCGCCGTCGAGAGTGTCGACAAAGGTTTTTCTCTGCTGCGGATGACTCATATGACCCGCGGCCCCGCCCGGCTTCTTCTTCTTCTTCTTATATTTAATGGCCTTCAAGCAGTGCTGCTCCGAAAACGGCCAGGACGAACCTCTTGTCGAATAGCCGTAGATGGCGGGTATTGTCAATGTCTTAGGCCACGAATGGCGCCGTAGCAAGGTTGGAAACGTGAACAAAAGATCCGCGGGCTTCGGCGCCAGCGCAGAACACCGCGGAATGTTTCTATATAGCTTTGACGAACTCCACGCTCAGTAGGGGATTTTGGATTAGGGTTGCAGATTCATAGATTTGCACGCCGCGAGAAGGAGGCGGACAAATTGACATGTAGGGGCGTTTAAAAAAGGAAGTATGTCTTTAGGAGGCTGAGGAGAAATTTTGTTCATATATTTGATTAGGTACAAGTTTGATTTTTAATATAAATTATATACATATATTATTTATATAAATTAAATATGCCTTTATTAGAAATGGATACAAAAGTATAATACATATTCATAATTCTATTTATACTTGAATAAATTATATAACTTCTTTTTAAACTTCTTTTCCTAAGATACAATTTTATAAATTATTACATATCTTATATTTATATTATAATTCTGTCTTTTTTTAATATTATATTTTTATACAATATATTTTTCAATATTTGCACGCAAAAATATTATAGCGTAGCCTCTCACGCCTGATAGATTTAGAAATAAAAATTAGACAAAAACGAATATTATTTTTGTCGCATGTCGCATCGCTACCAGTCGTCTCTTCGACTGATAAGGTAGAGCCAGAGAGACCTCATAGAAGTTAGCCGGACAATTTCGACTTACATTTTTTTTTTTACGAATCGATTGTTAGTCGTTTGTTATTGATTGTTAGACTAATTAGAACGTTTGTTAGTTAATAGTTTTTACGTAATCACAAAAATAATTTTTAGTGTTAATTTAGCCGGTAAATATAGAATTCTTTACAATTTTCGATTCAAACCGTGGTCAATCGATGCGGAATCGTTTGTTATGGAGGATTCACACTACGTCCGATGTTCGACGTACGACGATCCGACATCCAATAGGAAATTTTTGTCTCTAATAATAAATTCTGTTATTGGATGTCGGATCGTCGTACGTCGAACATCGGACGTGATCGGACGCAATGTGAATCCTCCATTAGTTCCGAATATACTAAGTAAAACGTTTGTTAGATCACGGTTTCGCTAAAAAAAGCGAAAAACTGTATATCGTTTAGCTGCCGGAGAGTGGGGGTGAGACGTAGAATATGTGGTGGTTTCGGAACGCATTACGTTATAGTTTATCAACACGGGAAACGTGCTTAACCTATTTTCAATTTATTTGTCAGATTTGTTTATGCCTAATACCTGGCTACATTTCACGTGCAAAAATATAGGTAAGTGTAAAATGCAAATTTAATTCTGAACTTAGTAAAAAGTATCGGTAAATCTGAAGAATAGTGGCCTCCTCACCGATTTCGTTCAACTTGGGCTTAATCGACGCGTTTTTGCACGAAACGACCGAATTTGGCAGAAAAAAGTGTCGCTCTGCCCCGCGAAGCGAGATATTAACGGTTAAAGTTGACAGGAATCAGATTATGATTCCTGTCATACCGACGAGATGCAGCGACTACGACCATACCCTGCGGCCACACGCGCATGCTCGCGCTCGCGTTCGCGTATTACTACCAATTCTTCCATTCCTCTCCCAGTCTATGAACAATTTGTTGATACGCAATTCTATGTACTATTAAGTTTATGTTTTACTCACTTCTTAGTTGGCGACACTGTGTGTGTGCTCTCTCAAGCGTGACTTATCACGGTTCTGTTGTACTCTTCTACGAAGTAAAATACTTTATACTTATTGTAAACGATGCACACTTTATCTCTTAACGTACTTCAAACGTACCGAAGAATAATGGATGATTAAAAAATATACTCTATAATATACTATTCATACCTATTTTATTACTATTATATTGTTTATTAATTAATCAGGATGATTTTGACCAAATTCCAATATTAACTTAGTCGATAATAAGTCTTATTACTATTTCATTAGCACAGAGACAGAATGTTCATTTTTCGTATCTTAACAAAAGGAAATTGAAAGGAAGATCGGTCTACAGAGACAACAAAATAGTAACTTTTTCATCTTAAATATATCTTTAATATGGCAATACGAGATGGGCTGATTGGTAACGCATGAAAAAGTATTCATTTTAAAATTTAAATACATGCAATATACATAAATGCCTTGCAGATATAAATTTCCGTACTTCCTCCGTAACAAAAATCGTTTGTTGCGCGGAAAAAAATATAACAAAATATTATTTTACATTTTCACGAAAGTGTAAAGTGAAAAAAAAAGAGAAGTAACATTACTGTTGATTTATTTGTTGCTGTTTCAATCTATCTAACGTGAGCGGTAGCAATGTGACAAATTCTTTGGATAATTTTATAAATTCGTACTTCTCCAACTTCTCTTGCCTCTCAGGATGCTTGTTATAGTAATTAACGACGAAGCTGTAAGCGTCGACGCTATTCTGCATGTTTTCTATCTTTTGCTGCACGTCGGAAGTTATGATCTTGTTGTACAATCTTCCTACGTGGAAATAAGTGTACAACGCCGGATACAGCAAGTCGTCCGAGAAGGATTCGACTCCGCTCTCGGACTTTTTCGTCTCCAGAGAATTCAAGTACGACTGATAATGCTTTATGCTGCTTCTCGCCAGGCGCTCGATCTTCGCCACCACCTGCGCGGTCGGCTTTTCGTTGGACGCTTGCAGACGATCGATCTTCAAGTCCAGAATCTCCGAATACGTTTCCGCCAGCTCGATCCAGATTTCCCTACAGATAACACGGTAAAACCGCGGGCACAATCCCTCGATCACTTCCTCCAGAATGTCTATCCGCCGTTTGTGCATCCTCGCCTGCCTGTCCTCGTTGTCTTCGAAAAACGCCAGGAACTTGTACGCTTGTGAGAGGTCCTGAGCAATCCAGGCGTAATCCGACGCGTGATTCTCAAATGTGTAATATTCCTTCGCCTTATCCAACCATTTCCGAACGTTCAAGAACACCGGCCTGGCGTCGTTGAAGTCCAACAAGTACATGTCCGTGATTTCATTGGTGATCGGCGCCAATTCCGGTTCCAGGTCTACAAATCTTGGGTCCTCCATGATTTCGGTTTGAGGATATTTGCAGACTTGATCGGAAACCTTCGCGGGCTTCGAATCCTGATCCTCCTGCTCGGCCTTCTTCAATAATCTCTCCTTGGACGCTCCCAGAAGACCGATACCGTACTTGGCCCAGCACCTAGCGACATTCGCCGATCTGTGATCGTAATTTTCGTATTCCGCGGCGATGGTCTCGCTCGTCTCCCTGGTACCCTTCGCCGTCAAGATCTCCGCGTATCTCTCCAGTATGTAGGACGCCGCGGCCAGATGATGTCTCGCCTGCGGAAATTTGTCTTGTTCTATAAAATACTGAGATATTGTCGCGGCATTTAGTGCCCAGTCGACGTAATCCAGATCTTGCGTTATCTTATTTTGACTCAGCTGTTTGCTCAGCGTTCTGTGACAATACAGAGCGAAGCTACATTTATCGTCTAGCTCGCGGCATACCTGCGCCAAATAATACAGAGTCAACGTGTGAAGCTTCTCGAGGATGCTCTTGGCGCACAGATCTCCTTCTATCTCCTCGATCCCCATAATGGTCACCATGTGAACAGGCTCGAGTCCAACGTCCTCCGTAAACTTGACGTACAAGCCTTCCGCTTGCTTCAAGAAATCTTTAGCTTCCTCGTACGAACCTCGTTGCGCATAAATCAGGCCCAGTTGATTATTGGCGCTTATAGCCGGTAAAATGCCTTCGGGCGTCAGTTTGCTGTCCTCCAACAAATCGATGCACTTTCTGAAATATTCCGTGGCGAGTCCGGTGTCTTCCAAGTCAGCCTGTAATATACCTATGTTCAAATGAGTTATCGCAGCCGCGACGGTGCAGAGGGGCTCTTTGCAGTGGGTGAGCGCTTCCAGGATCTCCATTAGAATTCCTACAGCTTTGTTCTTTCTCTCGTAAATCTTATTGGAGCACCTCGTCTCGCGTTCCCTCAACAATTTCTGTACCTCCTGGTACTTTTCCTTCACCCACGATCCCGGATGATCGATTCTCTCCAAGCATTCCATTTCTGTCGTCGAAGTATGCCTCAGTTTTATATGTCCCTTGATCCTTCCTGTTCGGCACTTTATCTCTTTAATAATTACAAATTAAATTAAATCTGTCGGGATATCCAGAATCCTGCGGACTGGGTATTAACAGCTTAGAATCACACGACATGCGGTCAGCATCTCCTAAGAAAAAAAAATATATATATATATAATCACTCGCCCTCGCCAGTATAAACGTTCTTATAAATAAAAAACAGTGAATTATATCTAACCTTATCAAATTATTCATATCCCTGTCGTATTATTGGTCGAAGTTGCCGGAGTCCTCCGGCTCCGAGTCGATTTGCGTTCAGCCTAAAAATTCTTTCTCTTCGCCGTCGAGCATGTCGAGAGTGTCGGGTCGAGAGTGTTGGAGAGTGTCGAGACTTCTAAGATCGCGATATCGATCGCCAATAACGATATCTCTTTCCGCGTAGTGACATTCGTCCCGCGTGTCGTCGCGAGTGGCGACCATGCGTCTCCTCCGTCCCCTCGCGAGTCGCAGCTGATCGTTCCGCCGTCGGTTCGCGGACGGTGTTTATCTGTCGCGGGAGTGTATTGCTCTTATTTTATTCCCTTCCCCCTCGCTACGCCGCGGTCGGCGTTTTCGCGGCCGTTCCTCGAAGAGATTTGCGCGCGACGTCGCGTCGTGGTCGTCGCCGCCGCCGCTGTCATCGTCGTCCGCGCTGTCCGCGTCCCGTCAGTGTCAGTGCCATATGTACCTCGCGCGGCGTGCACGGCGGTCGAGATGTGGGTGAAGCCGCAGGAGGTGCTGCTCGCCAACGCGTTCTGGTAAAGTCCTACACGCGATCCTCGTTATTCACGATCCGACCAATTGTCACCGATCGCCAAACACGGAATCCAACTACTCCGGCGGCCGCTCCGAAAGGATTGTCAGATTGCGGTTTGCGCGAGGTCGACGCGAAGCTGTCGCGCGCGGAATGTTTACATCCGCGTCTAAAGACAGCTGACGGGAGGTTCCGCTGGAGGTATCATCGGGTCCGGCCTTTATCGCGCCGCGATTCGGCAACGTCAATTTCTTGACACCGTGCTTCGACAGCGGGATCAGCGGGATTACGTTATCGGTTATCAGTGTTAACGTCACTAACGTCATTACGTGATAAAAATTACCGTTTTTAACGCGGAAACCACGTACGTTAGATAACGTGCGCGAAACGCCCGAACGCGTTGAGATGCGTGTACGAAAGTTCGCCGTTCACCAGGAGCGTCTGGTCGGTTTCGATAAGCGGCGATCGGTGATGTCGAAATCAGTGACACGATAAGCGAGGATAGTTTGACGCTAATTTGGCTCAATATACGTTGCTAATAATGGCTGACAGTAGCGATAAATGTTAACGAAGAGAGAAAGAAATAATTCAGCGATAACAGTTAATACCTGTGCTGAAACATCTTTCAGGATCTTTTATCTAGATATATTCAAATTAAGCAAAAATTGTTTTTTTATTTTTAATTTAATTTTTTGTATCTTGTATTTATTTAATTTTTAATTTAATTTGTTGTATCTTTTATTTATTTAATTTTTAATTTAATTTGTTGTCTTTTATTTATTTAATTTTTAATTTTCAATATTATTTCAGATGTCTGTTATGCATTTGTTAGAGATCTGTTTTAATTTTATCCTAAAATTGTTTATTTCCAAAGATTCTATTTTCTTTCTAAATAGGAGGTTTATACAGCAGTATATATGATTCTATTGTTCATTTTATAATACAGGATTACTGAGCAGGCAACTGTGTATTTCGTTCTGCAACGTCGCAAAGGACATGGAAAAACGAAAGGTCTTACCTCCATCCTGGTGGGCACGTTAGACAGTGTTTTCGACACTAAACCACCACCCTTTAGAATTCTTCATCAGACACCGTCGTCGGAAGTTTATTGGGGTATTGGCTTATGATTCAAATTTAAGACTATTGTAAGATATAAAGAACTTAAGATATTTAAAGAAGAGGAAAAGAAAAGTAGATTGAGATAATTCTTGTCTACAGATATGTAGATTTTATTAATAAAATTGTGTAATTTATGCAATTATTCCATATTAATTTTTTTACTCATATTACGCATTTAAGAATATGTAAAGCCAAGGGCAATGAATATATATATATATGCGAGTATTGTCTTAGTGACGTGATAGTAGCACAGTAACTGATAACAGTGCGCATTAGCACAAACAGTCAGCTATGTACTCAGCGAATGCTGAGGGAGCAAATTCGATGCTTCGACCTACATTTAGTTTTATAATTATGCAATTACAAATCTGAAAAAATTACAAGGCATATTAATTTTTGTCTTAATTAAATCTTTGAAGTAGAATATGAATCTCTAATATCTTCTTATCTTCAAAACTTTCAGAAGTGGCATGTTCCTTGACCCGCGAGGAGATTTTGCAGGATTGGGAATGGCTCCACTCGAATTTAATGACTACGCTCACGTCGTTCGACACCGAGGAGGAGATAACGGAATTTGTTTGCTGCAAAATTCAATCTATAATAGCAAACAACATTCCAGATTCCCAGTTTGCAGAGGGTAGAGTCATTAATCGTTACTTAAATTGTAAGAACGATATTGTGCGAATCCATAAATTAAGTATTAATATTGTTTACAGAAGAGGACCCAGAGTCTTTTAAAACTGTGTCTTTTAAATTCCACCAATTGTTCAATATACCTAAAGAGGACAAATTGGTCAATTATTATTCATGCAGGTCTTTATATTTCAAATATATAAAGATTACATAAAAATATAATATTTAATACTTTATTTGGAAGGTAGATCATGAGATGGCTATATTTTTTCTTTTAGTTACTGGAAATCACGATTACCTAGACAAGGATGGCTCTACTTATCTGTAAATCACATGTGCTTTTATGCTTACATACTGGCAAGAGAAACGAAGCTGACTGTAAGATGGACAGACATTACGGAATTGAGCAAAACTAATTCCCTTATAGTTCCAGATAGTATACGCGTCGTAACACGTGACAATAAAGAGGTATATGTTAATGTGCATACATTTCTACGTATTGCTATCGATACATGTTGTGATACATTCCATATGCCAATCAATCAATTATCAACATCTAATTTTTTTTCTTTTGTGTTACAGCATTATTTTTCTATGTTTTTACATAAATCAGAAACGTATTCGTTAATGGAACAACTGACCAATATTGCTATGAAAAGGTACTAGTTTACTAAAATACAGCATATAAAAAGCATTTGAACAAAAATTATCTTTGCATTTCATGTATTAATTTATCATAAGTTAATTGAATTATTTGCCTTTTCCTTAGACTCATTGATGAAAAAAGTGGATTTAATGAGGATAGAGACTTACTGAATAAATTAAGGTATTGATATATAGTTACATTACTTTCTAGAAACTTGTGCAAAAATTAATATTGAATCGCTTCTTAATTTAGCAAAAATGTGCCTAAGAAGCCATCTTTCTTGAAGAGGGATCTGGATGCACGTGCACATTCGGAAACGTACAGGCTTCAATTTAGGTTGCCGGGAGCAGAGAAATTAGATGGTAGCATCGATGCCACTTTATGGACTCCATATAACAAAAGATATGTCTGGGGGAAGATATATTTATCTCAAAATTATCTTTGTTTTGAAAGTAGGGTGAGTATCTTTCTAAGACGAATAAACTTTAAATGTGAATTGATTATAAAATTGACTTGTTACTTGTATCGGTTTAGGTAAGAAGACAGGTCGGTTTAGTTATACCTCTGAGGGAAGTAACACTCGTTGAATCGGCGGAAAATCAGTCCAGCACGGGAGCGGATAAGTCGATATTAATTACAACGGCGCGTTCGTCCTTTCTATTCGCTCAGATACACGATAGAGATTTCGTGGTACAGAAAATTTCCGAGCTCTTAGCAAAGTCTAAACTTAATTATACGTATGTGTTTGCGTTACATTTTCTAATCGATATAAAATGTAGACGCAACAATGCAAATTGTAATCTTTTCGTAGAACTAGAGAAAACGTATGTTTGCCAAATTCCTCGAGCAGTAACATCAGCAATTGCGAGGAAGCGAAACCTACGGAACAGTGGAAACCACAACCGCCATTGATGACACTTTTCAAGGCTCCGCTGACTCCCGAAGCCGCATTGAAGCAAGAAGCTAAAGAGAAGCAATGGGAGCTTCATTTCGCGGAATATGGAAGAGGAATTACAATGTATAGGACTACAGAAACTACGAAGCTCATTATTCAAGGAATACCACAAACCCTCAGAGGGGAAATTTGGCTCACCTTTTCTGGTAATATATAAATGATACAGTATATTTTAAAAATAATACTGAGTTTTAATACGTAGGATAAATTGTTTTATTACAGGTGCCTTAAATGAGAAGGCAATGAATCCAGATTTATACAAATCATTGGTCGAACAATCCCTTGGTAAATCATGTCAAGCAAATGAAGAGATCGAAAGGGATTTGCATAGATCATTACCGGAACATCCAGCTTTCCAATCGGACACTGGAATCAACGCGCTGCGAAGGGTGCTATCTGCCTACGCATGGCGAAATCCTCAGATCGGCAAGTCTAATATTTTTCTATTTGTATTTAATGTAACAATTTGAAATTCCTACGAGCTGAATCTTTTAATTAATTATAACAGAATTTTTTCTATTATTTAATTTTGTTGAATATTAATTTATTAAGAGCTGACGATTTTAAGTGTATTAAAACATAAAACATTAATATCCGTTTAAAAATAATTAATTAAATTATACTGCTATTTAGCAGCATTACGAATTACTTAATACGAATTAAGAACTTTTTTATAAATGTTCTATGTTCTATTCAGGTTATTGTCAGGCAATGAATATAGTAGCTTCAGTTCTGCTAATTTACTGTTCTGAGGAGTCAGCGTTCTGGCAGTTATGCAATGTTTGCGAATCATTACTGCCGGATTACTATGATCGGAGAGTAGTCGGTGCTCTCGTTGACCAAGGTCTTTTAGAGGAACTGGCAGCCGAGCATTTGCCAGTTCTACACGCCAAGTTACAGGAGCTTGGCTTAATTAAAGTTATCTCATTATCTTGGTTTTTAACTATATTCTTGAGCGTCATGCCAACGAGTAGCGCTGTAAATATTATGGATTGTTTCTTCTATGATGGAGCAAAAGTTATTTTTCAGGTAATAAGCTGAGCATAGTAAGCATAGTTTTAAATATATTTTTCCAATTAATGAAATCTTTCAATGAAAATATATATAATTGTTAAATCCTAATAAATTATTGTACAGAAAGCTCTTATTGCGAATAAATTTAATTTGTTTTATTTTATTATTTTAAATTCATTAAATTTTGAAATTTAATCAAATTATTTTGTTATATATAATGTATATAATAAATACAAAGATATTTAAAATAAACAAATTTTTTTGCTTTATCAGATAGCATTGACTGTGTTGGAATGGAATCAAGACAAGTTACTCAACTGTCGCGATGACGGAGAAGCTATGCAACTGTTAACAGATTATCTTGGTGGTGTTTATAACGATGAAGGCCCGATATTTCCTAGACCAGTTGATAGTGCATCACCTAGTAAGGTAAGAATATACATATATTTTAATTATCTTGTGTATCTTGTGTATCTCTGACCTAATCTTCGATTCTAATAAAGCTAAAATATATTTACTGTAGAGTATATCTGTCCAAACATTAATTTATGAAGCATACTCGAGATATGGATCTTTAACAATTGGTGGGATAGAAAGATTGCGCCTGAAGCATAGACTGAGGGTAGTTCAAAGCCTCGAAGATGGAATTGAGAAAAACGTAATCAGAAGCGTTATTGTTGATAAATACATGAAAATGGAAGAGTTGCAGGTAATGTAAAATGATTTTACATAGACAATGGGATATGACTATAAGTATTTTAATTATGCTATATATATATAGGAATTGTTAAGTTTAGTGAGAGAAGAGTTAATGAGCCAACGAAAATCTGAACCCGACCGCTACGATCCGACCCAACCGCCGTATGAAGCGTACAAAGTAGATTTTGATTTATTCAGAATATTATTTGGTGGTTTATCTCCGTGGGGAAAATGCACTCAAGCTGAATCTCTTGCTGCGCGATTATTTCGTGTAAGTTCAGTCTTAGTAAATAAATTAATCCTAGTTTAATTAATTGTAACATTTAAGCATTGTAAACTTCTGCATAATAAAATTAAATTTTTTTAAAATTATGTTATGCGATAATTGATTACAAGCAGTACGAAAATAATATTAAGTGGTTACTTTATTTTAAAAATATTCTTTTAGCTGATGGACCGTAATCGTGACGGTTTGCTAAACTTTCGGGAACTAGTGCAGGCTATAGGGATGACAGCAACAGCTGATTTAACGCAGAGATTAAAGCTATTGTACACGGTGCATTTACCGCCACTTCTTATGCCTACCGACTTTGAATCGCCAACACATTCAGCGGGTAGTTATTCAACAATATATACATGAAAACCATATATATGTGTATGTATAAAATATGTTAATTTATATGAGATATGTTAAATTTATAAATTGGTTAGATGGAGCCGAAGTGGCAGCGGAAGCTACGGATTTTTTCGACAGCATGGAACAGAGTGTAGCTTCCTTGGAAATGCCGATTAGCCTGGCAGAAGAGCCGACCTTAGGCACTTTATCAAGATCCACGAGCTTGAATAGCCAACCAGGTGACCAATCGTGGGAAGTTCAGAGTATGGGTAGCTTGCGTTCGATGATAGCGTCAAAAGACAGTCCATTGGATCTTAAAACCGTGCCAAAAATGTCTCAAGGACACTTTATAGCATTATGGAAAACTCTTTACGACATGTTTCCTGCTCAACCCGAAGAACAAGAAACGTATCATTGCATCGCTTCCATAGGTAACTACATTGTTGTATATATTGTATGTACATATATTCAGAAATTTTATATTGCAGTAATGTTTAATTATAATTACATAAAACAATGCAAAAACCGTAGGTACCCTTCTGCTCCAATTAGGGGACGTTGGCAAGAAATTCTATGTAGAGAGAGAAGAATCTGAAGATAGTTTGCTTCTAGCTGCTTCTGCAGCTCAACAGGCTTCTTCGGTTATCGAAAGGGTATTTTTACTTGCACTGGCAATCGATTCTCTTTATTATGGTAGGAAATTTATTAACTCGATACTCCTTTCTTTCTCAGTCACCCGACCGTAATGGAAATCCATCGAGCATAGCGTCATCCGCTGATCCTGATTGGGCGATAACTGTCGAGCAGTTTTTAGCATCTGTTTTGACTGGTCAAGCAATCGTAGACTTCTTCAGTAAACGAACCGACCTCATGGAAGCTATGACAACGTTGAAAAATCGTAGATTTAATCGGGTTCATTCTTTATCAGATACACCTGCCCTGAATGGATGACACATGGTAATTAACGTGTGAGAGAATAGTACATCTATTTTTATCCATGATTGGCTTAGATAAATTGACGAAGGAGAAAACAGAATTGCTTAAAAGGAATCTATATATTATTATCAGAGAATGCAAATTTTAATTTGGAGAGAAGCGCATTTGCATGAATGACAATACGTGCAATATAATAGTTATAAACACACACACACACACAAAATACAAGTTCATTTATAAAATACCAAGAAGTATAATCGCGTCAAGATTTGTATAATTGTTATTTTCTAAATTTTTGTTATACTCTTTTGCGAATGAAATAATACATTCTGCGTTGTTTGATTTGATAAAATCTCTTTTACAGATAAATAGATTCAATTTCAAATCATTGTATTCCAAATCATTATATTAATTATAAATATGATTATTTTTAAAATATATCTGTTAACAATAGTATAATTTTATCATTAGTTTTTTTTAATTTCTTTAATAAGGCAAATGTAGGCCTACCTTATCAATCATCGCAAATGTATAATAGCGCATCAATAGTAAATAAGGTAAAAATCTGAAAAAATTATTCTATTACTTTAAAAATTATCCATGTATAAGTAACATGAATTTTCGAACATCTAATACTGACACGACGCATTTTTAAGGAGAAATATCTAAGAAAATGACATTATCCAGATTTATTTGGAATTGTTGAACTATTTTTGTTTTCTGCAGATATATCAAACGGTTGCGAGAAATGCAACATGTATGGTAAGAAATATTGGCTGTACGTCAGCTATTTACGTATAGGTTTATTTTATTCTCTAATTTTGCTTTACATTAAACATTATTATATATAAATGTCACATATTCCTCAGGTATCATTTTCTTAGCTATTATAAAAGGCAAGTTAAAATATTAAATACATAATTGGAAATTAAAGAAATTACTTGTACCTAGAAATCTTCAACGAAACATAGTAAGGACAAAATTCTTGATTGACGTCATATTATTAATCTTTTTTTATATGGCAAATTCTAAACCAAGATATACGAATACATGTAAAATACTCGAACAAAAGTATACCATGTTATCTTGAACAGAAGTAATAGGGCAAAACATTTTTGTGATTTGTTTAGCCGTGATACCAGATTCAGAATTTATATACCCCAATTTCTTTAAGCAAACAGAAGCATATGTATAAGAAATCACCCTATTTATAAATAATATACGTAAATGATGCAAAAGCTAATCTGTGTATTCTAACGAGATGTAACGCAATTTTGATATGCAGTATTATTTGATTACTGATCATTGCCTTCCAATTATACAAGTTTCTTATTAACCGATTCATTCATAAAGAGTTCCAGTAAGCATTGGGATTTGATTTTCCAGTAAATAAGTTATAGGGATAACTCATTGTGAAAAAAAGGAACAGATTAAAAAATTAAAAAATCTTTTTAGAATTTTGAATTCTTCCTAAATCAAAACTGTATCTTGGTTCATTCAATTTCAAAAATTCATAATCATGGTACGAAATAAAAACCCTTGA